TGCCGTTTGCCATGCTTCATCCTGCAGCCACAGGCACCCCAAGGCCACACATCAATGGCATCTTATGGGCGTCCACGCCTGCCGTTTGCCAGCCCTCAAACCCTTAAAACCCTTAAAACCCTTACAACCCGTCATGGGGGTCCAAGCCTGCCGTTTGCCATGCTTCATCCTGCAGCCAACAGGCACCCCAAGGCCACACATCAATGGCTTCTTATGGGCGTCCAAGACTGCCGTTTGCCAGCCCCTAAACCCTTAAAACCCTTAAAACCCTTAAAAACCCTCAAACGGCTTAAAACCCTTACAACCCGTCATGGGGGTCCAAGCCTGCCGTTTGCCATGCTTCATCCTGCAGCCAACAGGCACCCCAAGGCCACACATCAATGGCTTCTTATGGGCGTCCATTAAACGCTTAAAACCCTTAAAAACCCTCCTTTCCGTGTCTGTTTATTGAATGTTGTTTTGATGCATACTTTTGGTGCGCCTTTTCCTTGCGAAGACTGCGTCTTACGCAAGGGAGGCAAGACACACCATCCCCAAAATATGAAAACAACATTCCATGAACAGCCACGGAAATCCCTGATATCAATACATTCGATTCATTGTCCCACAATCTATGTTTACGCTACCTAGACCTTCAAAAACTCTATAACATTTGCACGTTTGGACTACTGCACATGTGGGCCGTTTTGACCTTTCCCCGCCGCTCCGCCCTGAAAAGGGGGTCGGCGGCACCAGGGCGTTAGCCCATTTATTATATACAGTATATAAATATAAAAACACTGTAACAAAACCCAAGGCCAAAATCTTTGGTCACCCGTGCGTCTCAAATGGTGAACAAACCCTGAGCAACAGAGGTTGTACACCGTACACCAAGGCGCTAACACCTCTATGCCTTAATGACCGTTCAGCCGCTGACAAGCAATATCTCTTGAGGTTAATCCCACATCACGATCTGTGATGGTTGCAATCTTCGAAGGGATTAGTCGAATCTGGAACGAGATTCTGCAAGCAGCACCCAAACTCACTATTGAACTTTGGAGTGTCCCATGAGATGTCCAAACAAATGAATCCGCGGTGACTTGGTGAACCTTGTGATTCCAAATGTTTGAAGATACTACATGATGCATCATGCTGTGTTCCTGCCTTGGTCGCTTGGAAACCTCCTGGGCATGTCAAGGGGTCTGCGCACTTGATAGCATCCTGGGCAGAGCATGATGAAACTCGTTGTTCAGCAAAGGATTGCAAATGCCAAATCATGGAAAAAACTCGGTGCAGAAGTCTTGATGTCAAACATCTGGGTGACTCCCCAACCCCTTCAAAATAGCAAACTTATGAGGATGCCGAGGGCATTTCAGCATCATCTTTGAGATTCAGAAAATACCTTGACTCAACTAAATTTCAGTGCAATCAACAATCAAGCATGGCTTTCCTGACTTCAAACACTTTACGAACATTGACACTTGTTGGCGCCCTTTGATTGTGATCAAGTCTAGCGTCATGTGGAGCCAATGTTGACATCAATATCAGCCGACATCATTCTGTACTAGTGTATGCTATTGTTACCTATGTTTTGCAGGTCCCTGAAAGATCTTCAAGGTCCTACTCACAGAAGTGGCAGCAACCACACATTTCATCAACTGAGAATGCAACGCAAGCAGGCCCGGTGCCAGAGCTCTGCACCTACAAGTTGGATTCACTTCTACTCACAATTTTTTACTTTGTTTCCAACAAGTTTTGACTTGAGAGCAAGCAGAGGCGGACGAAAGGTAGTGTAGTGGGAGAGGAAAACGCTGCGCCCCTTTTGTTCAGCACTGGCGGGATGTCACAGTAGAGGCACACTCTCCATGAGGGAGATGTCCCTGTAGTCCAGCATAATTGGTATGTTTCAGCCTCAGTAACGGTTGCTGCAAGGGGTCTTACAAAGGGGTTTTAAATAAACCCCTTCTCGTGCATCATTTCACGCTGGACAGGACGCTGCATCATGCAGTCATGCTCTGAAAAAATCATCTTAGACTGCGCAAAAGCGTTTTTGGTGTATCGAAAAAATGGATTTAAATAAGAACACCGTCCAGCTGTTCAAAAAAGGGTTTTAAATAAGATGTTCTATCCAGAGCATGACTGCATGATACAGTGTCTTTTGCAGCGTGAAATGGTGCACGAAAAGGGGTTTATTAAAACCACCTTTTTAACACCCCTTGCAGCAACCTTTACTGAGGCTGAAACATGCCAATTATGCTGGGCTACAGGGACATCTCCCACCGTGGAGGCCCGTGACCGCGTCACCCGTGGGGCTTTATGTTTCTGGTGTGATGCCTGCCACTCATGCGCCCGCACGCGGCCAGCTACTGGGGTCTCCTGACATGCTTTGCATTTTTCGTATGTACCGGCGCTCAACTTGAAAGTCTGAATTCATCAGTTGTCAGGGCAGGGAATGAAAGGCGCAGTTCGCGCATGACCCCGCGCAGTGGATAACAAGTGACGCCCAGGATGTGGCAAAGAGGTGGGAAAAATGGGTTTACTTGCATGTCCAGTCTAGCTGTGAAGAGGGTCCTATGCCGCCTGTGGGTGCGCTATTTCGTGTTCTTTGCTATGTCATGTCATGTGTAGAATGTTTTTGTCGCTGTGATTGGTTTCATGTGGTCCTGCCAAGCTAGCACCAGGCCACTGTGAGGCTACTGTCGCATGCCCGAGCACGGCATCCTTTCGTGAAGGTTGCACTGGCACGTTTCTTCTGGGGGGTTTGGCAACTCGTCCTCGTCTCCTGCAATTTGTCTTTGGGGGTTTAGTCAACCTTACACGCTGGGCTATTTGAGAACAAGGGACTGTGGGAGTGCAGTTTTTCTGTTCATGACTTAGTACAAAGTTAATAACTACAAACCACATGAATTGGCTTTTCAAGCCTTGACCTACAGTAAACATCATGAATGACGCCATCACGTTGACCAAGGGAACACTATATCTTTCAGGTGCAACCTTCCTCAACCCCCGGCCTGTGCCGGCGAGTGAATTGTTTCCGACGGACGCACGAAGAGCACCAAGATAGAGAACGGGGGGTTGCGGGAGCGTGTTCTTTTCTTGTTTTATCTTGTTTTTACAGAAAGTTGTTGATGCTAATTCTTTTTAAACATCATCATGCCGAATGCCTTTGTCGAAATTTTCATCCACATGACGGTGACACCAGCCAAAAAATCAGTAAAAACCACAGATAGTGTTGTAGCTTAGGTTTCGTATCTTACTGGATGCGGAAGAAAGAGGATATAATTGTTTTACCTCCTACTGTCTAAGCTTCCAAGACAAAAAAAGGGGTTTATTTAAAACCCCTTTCTCTTCCATGATCATCCGGCGCTATCTTCCAGGTATCGTCTCGCCATTGCAGTCAGACGTCTCCTGCGCCTGTGGCTTGTTGCCTTTGTAGTCGGAGACGCGAAGTCCGTTCGAAATAGCCAAGCATGCGACGATGTGCTGAATGCATGTAGGAGCGATAAGCAGCATCTGGGTTAGCATTGTGCGCAGGAAGCGGGTCTTGAGGTGAGGCCGGGTGGTTTCTTCCATGTGCAGGCAATGATGGGAAGTTTGCGCAAAGAATTTGGGCAATCAGCCTTGGAAGCATTGAACATTGTGGATGCAGAACGTTCAAAGAATTGCGGATGCGCCCCAGAAGAAGTTCAAATGCCCTGCTGCTGATTCAACCATTTTCATGACATAGAGCAAGCCAAATTCACATGCCACAGCCGCGCCATATCGTACGCCGCGGCACGCCACCCCGGGGTTCGAGCCCGCGACCATTTCGCCCCCCACCCTTCTAATTGAAATCCAATACATAACGCCTAGAATTCTACGTTTTGCCTCGACGTTTGCCCGGACTTGACTAGCTCCCCAATACCCTGTATGATTGTGCTGAAGCACGGAGAACTCAGGTATATAGCTGACGCTACCTTTCGTGACAATTGTGAACATTGGAACATTGGATACAAGTGCAATTGGAAAAAGCGCGCGGGTCTTTTTTATTTGTCCTCAGCCGGATGCTTGCACTATTTTGCAATATACTAGTGTCTGGTAGGACCATTCTTGAGCTGATACTGTTCATCCTTGACTGACATTTGTGCTAACAAATCCAGAGGCTTGGAGGAACGGTCCTATATCGCTGCCTGAATGAGCATCTTGGTTTGGCCATCATGATCCAACGCGAGCACCTCTGACAACAAGAAGCATTTGATAATGTGAGCTCATTCGCGCATAAAGCTGCAACAAGAAAACTGCTTGGCTTCTGCAACAATGTACAACCAAAAAAAAGACTCGAGAAATCTCATAATCTGCATCCCAAGTTGCTCAAGGATGTTTGGGCCTAGAGGGTATTGGAAAGAGGAGCGGCACCTGCTTTGGAGCCTTGTTGTGCTTCAATGACGCCTCTGCAAAGCAAAGGGCCTGGGCGTCGATCTCTCACAGTGATTTGCTTGACCTTTTAGACACTCTCACATCTCAAAGAAATCCGGAAACGCAATACATTTTCATGCTAGCCACCACATCCATTACAAGTGTCATCACAACCTCACTCCTTTGATGCACCCTCTCCAAACCACCTAGGAAGAACTGGCAGCCAAGCAACAAGCAAAAAGGAAGCAATTCTGAGGGACATGGCCACGACCTTGGTGGCAAAGCTGGAAGTTGCCAAGAGATCATGAGGGGAGCGTTCCGCTGGGAAAAAGTAAAGGCACCCATAGAAACAGCTGGCATTCTGATTCATCCCGGTGGGACCAGCATCAACATGCACATGAAGTGTTACAGTAGACGGCTACAAATTACTTTGAACACTCTGGAAAAGCAGCTGCACTTCGAGCTTCAAGGCCAAGCCGCACTCAGGGATTGCCAGCTTCAATGAGTCAGATCCAGCTTGAGCCAGGTGCTGCAAGCATGTAGGATGAAGTACAAACTATGCACTCACTGTTCGGCCAAGTTGTCAATATCATGCCCACATGGACATGGCCCAAGCAATCGGTGGCTTTTCAGTCCTGACCAATTTGGGAGAATCCCATCTTTCCACCAGATCCCAACTGTGTGATTTTGGATCCTCTGGTGCTTCTGCCTACACTCTATTGCAACCTCCCAAACGGTTTTACCCTCAGGGAAAACTGACCCGATTTAACAAAAGTCAGATTTTCACTGGATAAGGAGCCGACTTACTTCCAAAATCTGAATTTCGATGTGTGATGCAGTCATGCGAAACAGTGAGTGAGGACCAGCCAATGTGCCATTGCAGGATCTGGGTAAGATCCAAAGGTTCCGTGTGCCCAAAGTCATGGTCATGTCAACCTCGCCGCCACCAGCCCAAAGTAAGCGCCAGAGCAAGGGGCAGGACTTTCACGTAGAACATGATCTGATTTGTCAACGATGCTCGAGTCACCATGCCCATGTTGGGAAGGTAAATGCCTGCCTCTGCCATGTTCATATGCTGCATGAATCGCATATATTCGGCATGCACTTCAGCTGACATGGGCCAGCCGCTGTATTTGTCTGCTAGATTTAGCAATGAACGCCGCCCCAGCCGGCGAGACTGACACAAGTCTGTGATGTAAGCCAAAGGCAGCATGGCAAAAATCCCTGAGCACATCATTGTGAAAGCCAACAGCACATAGCCAGTCGAAGGTAAAGCGTCTTTTTGATAGGCTCGGGCAACCCACAGCGATAGCAAGCTGGAACCCGCGACCACATTCTGGAAAACAAGAACAGTCGCAGATATTGCAGAAGACATGGCTTTCAAATGTCGGAGCAATTTCTGATGCTCTCTCAAAAGATGCAGCCAATGTCCTGGAACCGCAGTCTCAGCGAAGTCTTGAGCCTCCAAACAAGCACTGCTGGCATTGACACTTCCGTTGATGCCATGGATACCGTTGACGCCGTTGATGCCGTTGCCTGTCGCTTCCAGCTCTCTGTAGAAGCACTCCACTTTGTTCATGGCAAGTGCAGCAAGGAGGCGGATGAATGTCAACATTTGCAGAAGAGCCCAGGCCGAGAAGAAAGCTGGACTCCAGCCCATGACGAATGCAGATGGATGGGGAAGACGTGAAAGCCGACTTAGGATGCCGTAGATGAACACAACCAAAAGCAGCAATAAAACAGAGATGCTGTAGCTGGTCCGGAGGGCTTTCAGAAAGTGGCTCCGAAACTTTTCATTCTCTCGAAGCTGCTCATCAATAAGTCTTGAGATAGCTTCACTCTTCATGGCACGTGATGCAAGCCCCAGCATGATGAGACACATGAAGTTCAAGACTGCCAGCACCTGAGTCAAACACACATATCAAGCAAAAAACTAATAAAGACAATGGGAAGCGCAATGTCCAAAACTAGGTCAAAAACTTGTTACCCTGGCGGTAAATGGATATTCATCCCCACAGAGATGGTCCAACAGGAATCGACACATCTCCATGTGGACTCAAACTCTTGCCAAACGGTATCTCTTCATTGCTGTTCAAATTAAGCCAAGCGCCAAGACCGCTACCTGCACCAATGACGAGGGGAAACATGTGCAACTAATGACAAAAAAAACCAACAACAACACGCTGAAAAAAACACTGGCACATTTGTCGTCGGTTTGTTATCTAAGTTCCTGCGGATTGGTAATGATGCCAACAGATATGTATATATATATATATATTATATATACATACAAGATCATACAAGAACGACACGGTCGAAACCGGTCGAGCCTGAAAAATTCCCCTCTGCTTGCCCACGCTGTTGCCAACCTTTGTGGCTTCTGCGTAGATGTTATCTACCAGCCATTGTGGCCTCATCCATGGGAGCAAAATGGCCTCACCAGGTCAAGAAAGATATGATTTAAACAGATTTAAACATCCAAGTTCCAAATCTTCAAAGGTTTAATGATGTTTGATGAATCTACAAGATTGAAGTTCCTGGAAAAGGTATCCTGCATCAAAGCCACATAAATGCCCACGCAAAGAAGGCAAAGTATGTGGA